AACTTTATTTATTTAACATAAATTAATTTATCTATACTAACGATTTAGATATGAAAATAAGAAAAGTTTTCAATTCTCATTAAAAAGCTACCATACAAATTTTAAATACAAAAATTCTGGTCACTAAAATATCCCTTTTGATTTTGTTATTTTAAAAAATTCAAAAATGTTATGTATCAAATTACTTTAAAACAATAAAACAAAATTAAATATATTAAGATAAAACAATATTTAAAGTACGTACCTTTTCTATGTCCTTTTTTTGTTGAAGTATTCCTTTTCTCTTTTCTCTTGCATCTCTGGCTGATCTCGTCCATGTATCGTCAACTTGATTTTCCATATCCTCAATTGAAATTGAAAAATAGGATGCTTCTACTACTAATCCTTTTAAAAACAAAAGGCCGAAGTTGAATTAACGATTCTCCGCTTCTTTATTGCATAATTAATTCTGAATGCCTATGTATTGAAATGGAAAATGAAAATGGGTGGTGGATGTCACATTTTAACTCATTATATATCTCTTTTTATAATAGGATTTTGACCCAAGTATATAGGAGTTTCCATAAATTTGGATATAAAAGTGAGCAATTTAACTCATTGCCAGTTAGATATATGAGTAAGGAATTCAAAATAATATTGGGGCCATCATAGATAAAACAAATTCCTTACTAAAAATAAATGAATCCAGAATAATATTATTGGTTGTCCAAGATACATAATTAAGGATTGCCATATATAAGTAAAGGGATCCAAAATTATATATATTAGTATTATCCAACATACAAAATAAAAGTAAGGTGATGAATAATATACTCGTGATCATAATTTTCTAATTTAGTACTATTTAGGATTTTTTCTTAATAATATTTTTCGCAAATTTTGTCAATCACCATATGTTAAGAAAATAATCTATTCTTGGAAATCATATCATACAATTCATGGCTATGCTTGAATCATTTTCTAACGCATGACCCTATTAAGAGAGTTTCACATTTAATTATTTACTTACCTTTTGTATTTTAGAAAGGACTTTATTATGGTGAGAATTCCTTGATAAAGGATTAATATATGTAGCATGGTCTTAAAATTCTATTTAAATTAATTAAAAATATTATATATTTTTTATTTTTTAAATAGTATTTATATTTCTTCATATTTATTTTTAATTTTTTATATTATCATCGTAATTGGAGTTCGTATTGTTGTAATCTGAATGCATATATATACATATAATATTATTAATTATCCAAGATACATAATTAAGGATTGCCATGTATAAGTAAAGAGACCGAAAATAATATTAGTATTATCCAAGATACATAATATAAATAAGGTGATGAATAATATACTCGTGATCATAATTTACAAATCTAGTATTATTTAGGATTGTTTCTTAATAAAATTTTCTGTAAATTTTGTTAATGACCATATATAAGTAAGGTGATCAATAATATATATACTCATGGAAGTAAGACAAATAAGTAAGGAATCAAAAGTATTATTGGAATTTCTATTACTATAGGTACTCTATTGATTTCAACCTATATATACACGAATTTCCATTAATAAATCTTTGCTACTTATTAATTTAAGTATTAAATTTATAAATATGGAAGTAAGATAAAGGATTAATATATGTAACATGGTTCTAAAATTCTATTTAAGTTAAATGAAAATTATTATATTTCTTTTTTATTTTTTAAATAGTATTTATATTTTTCATATTTATTTTTAATTGTTTATATTATCCTCGTAATAGGAGTTCGTATTGTTTTAATTTGAAAACATATATTAACATATAATATTATTGATTATCCAAGACACATAATTATGGATTTCCATATATAAGTAAACGGATCCAAAATAATATTATTGTTATCCAACATACATAATATAAGTAAGGTGATGAGTAATATACTTGTGATCATCATTTTCAAATTTAGTACTATTTAGGATTGTTTCTTAATAATCTTTTTTGTAAAAAATAATATTCTAATTTTCGTTAATACAAGTACTCTATTGATTTTAACTCTTATTATACACGAATTTCCACAATAAACCTTTGTAGCTTATTAATTTAAGTATGTAATTTTTAAATATGGAAGTTAGATAAAGGATTAATATATGTAGCATGGTCCTAAAATTCTATTTGAATTAAATGAAAAATATTATATTTATTTTTTAAATTGTATTTATATTTTTTCATATTTATTTTTAATTATTTTATATTATCATCATAATAGGAGTTCGTATTGTTGTAATTTGAAGGAAAGAATTTCGTTGAAGGCCAATGATTATCGCGTAGAAAATTTGCGACCAATTGTTTTCAACGGGAGATCCCTTGGTGCATCGTATATAATTTATTTCCATGGGTTTCCTCGGATATTACGTGGCATGCTGACATGTTTAAATTTTGCCACATAGACATGCCAAATGTTGAATTTCTGTGCATTCGAGTCTCCTTTATTATATTAAAGGATTTTTTTTGGATATTACGTGACATGCTGACATGTTTAAATTTTGCCACATAAACATGCCAAATGTTGAATTTGTATGCATCCAAATCTCCTTTATTATATTAAAAGATTTATTGTAACGACTATATCTTACTCTATACAAAGCAAAAAGAAGCTGCTACAGTGTTCCCGCCAAAACACTGTAGCACAGTACTGGATTGCATAGTGTTGGGCCTATATAAACAAGATTCGGCCCACACTAATATAATAAACCCAATATAAAAAACCCTAATCCACAACACAGCCTCACTTCGCAGCTATAAATACATCAAAAAACAATGAAAAAATAAATTAGATTTTCAACCAATTACAATCTTCCAATACTATATCCTGTAGCTTTTCCTTCATCCAAATCAATGGCAGCTCCAAGTGACTGGTGCTTCCTCAGAAATGTAAACACCAAGACAAAACAATGTGCAATTAAAGTTCGTGTGGTTCGAGCATATCGATGTCCTCCACATGCTTCTCGTAGAGAAACTTTAGAGATTCTTTTTCACGACCAGCAGGTTTTTTTAGATTTTCAGTTCAATATATTTAAATGTTTGTATGAACATATATATAAATATTAAAGTTTATTTTAACAGATACATATATAAATATTACTCTAAATGTATATATAAATATAAATATACATATATATATATATACACACACACACACACAGATATATATATATATATACGTGATTATTCAAAGAGCAAAATATAAAAACTATAAATGTAAATATAAATAAATATAGTTATATGTATACACCTAAATATACGAAATATATTTAAGTGTAGACATGCATATATGTATATATTACTCTAAATGTATATATAAATAAATATATAATATATATTAATATATATATATATTATATATATATACGTGAATATTCAAAACGTCATGTCTGCTTCAACGGTGCTGCATCCCGTAGCGCCACGCCAGTATACATTGAATTCTTTGTAACCTCAAAACGCCAGTTATACCCTGAAAATAACAACATATCAATCACTGTACCAGAATTGGCGCATGCTCTATATAACAGCCTGAGGACATTTTTAAAAGTTCACAGTTCATGAAGAA